GATTTTGATGATTACAAATATTACTATTTTTACATTGTTATTTCCTACTGAAATTAAGTGTAGTGCATAGCTTTATTTTTGTTATTAAGACTAACATTTCAGGACCACAAGTTCGCTGGAAAAGATCAGATCAAGATCAAGTAGACTAGGATTGAGTCAAGTCTATAAATTTAATTTTCAATATTTTTACCTTTTCTTAAGTCAATTATAAGTTTGTGGATCCTGAAGCTGGGTAACCTTGCACACACACACTCATAGGAGTGAGTAGAGTGAAATAAGGGAAATATTAATTTTTCTGATCATATCGTCTTGAACGATCTCTTGGACGATCCTAGACAATCTGATCAATTCTTAACCCTAATTAGGGCATCCCTGCTTAGTCGGCCTAATTGAACTAATTGCATATGACGATCTAATAAATCGTCCTAGGCGATCTGTTTACAGCAAGCCAATTTAGCTGCCAGCCCACTTAGGCAAGATTGTTAAATCAGCTAAAATTTGTACTAATCGTCCTGTACAATTCTAATCATCTTGAATGATATAATTACAATCATGTCTAAACTGTTGAATTGATTAAGGAGAGTAATTAAGGTTGAATTGATATGATCACATCATCTTAGACGATATCAAGATCGTCCTGGACGATATGAATAAAAATCTTAGTTTACTATGAACAAACAGAGTGGTATGCTGGACGATAAGACATGTTTTTGAACTAATCATTCTGAACGATCTAAAAGTTATCCTAAAAGATCAGTTATTTTATATATCGTCTCAATCAATATGCTAGACAAACAGAGGGGTTTGCTGGACGATAAATTCTGTTTTTGTAATAATCCTCTAGGACTATCCTAGGATCGTCCGAGACTATTAGTTCATATTTTGCCTTCTGATCGTCCAAGAAACTCATATCGTCCCAAACGAAAGGGCTATTTTTATACTAATCGTGGATAATATTCATATCATCCTAGATGATTTAAGCTGACTTATTGAAATTTAGAGCTATTTCAAAGCTCTTCTATTTGAGCAAAAGCATTGGTCGTTTTGGACTAATCTTTTGCTGGTTAGGTGATCCAATAGGGAGCTTAGGGAAAGAAAAGGGAGAGCTTAAGAGAGAGATACTTGTGAGGGAGAGTTATGACGGAATTCACAAGGTTGCTCCAAGCAAGGTGATTGTCGTCGTCTTGAAGCTGCTGCTTTAGTTCCTTGATGGCTTTGAGGACATCGTCATCATCATCAGATCCAGGTCTCTGCTCGCTTCAGGTGGAAGCAAAAGAAGTTTGGTTCTTTGACAGCTTTTGGATGAAGAGAAAGATTAAAGGTTCTCTGCCTCACCCGTGTTTGTGAAAAGAGGTTGTAAGGGCTTCTCCGCCTTGCTATGGTGCTAAAAGAGAGTCACATTTGGTTAGTACAATACTTGGAGGGTGTCTCCAAAGAGTAGACGTAGGTCAGGTTGACCGAACCACTATAAAATATGGTGTGTTCTTTCTTATTTATGTTTCCGTTATTTTTATTTCACAAATTTCTATGTTAGAATATTTGGGTGATAAATCTATTTTATTCTGTTTATTACTTCCGCTTACATATTTAATTTTGATTGTTTTAAAATTATCAAAAAGGTTTTAAAGAAAAATTCTCTTTTTAGCTAAGTTGTTTAAGAATTTTTTAAACTACCAATTCACTCCCTCTTGGTTAGTCTCGAGCTTGTTCATAAGAGATTAACATCCGTATAAAACTTTCGAGTGCCATTAGAACTTTCAAAGCTGGCATTGCCGTCAAACCTTTCCACATATTACTCCGCTCCTCCCGCAACTCCGCCAGCCATCCTGACCTCTGCATCTCCTCAATCACTACCTCCACCTCCATTCTACATTCCATCTCCTCCTCAAAAGATGTAATCCACGCCTACCTAAACCTCACCCTCGTCGCCGTCTGCTGCTCCATCAACAACGGCAAAATCATCTTAGCCCGACCTAGTCTCACCTCCCGTGAATGAGCCACTGTTCAAGAGTATCTCTAGATGTTCGACGAGCTCCGTCGCGCCGACACCGATCTCCGATCTTACCCACTGAGCGTTTCAAGCTCTAAATCACTCTCCCGCCATGCCGCCGACTTGAAGATCATGAATTCATGGGCGGATCCAGCTTCTTTTTTCAGGGTGGGCAAAATTTTTTTTTTTGTGGGGGATGGGCAAAGATTCTTAGGATTGATTAAATGAGGGCAAAAAAAAATTTTGAGAGGGGGCAAAATACCCAAAATATTTCAAAATATCTCACTAAAATTAAAAAAAAAAATTTGTTGAGGGGGGCATTCAACTAAATGGGGATCCGCCCATGATCATGATCATCGGTGCGATAGCCAACCATGTGAAACTGTAAAATGAAAAAAAAAAAAAATTGGTGGATTTGTTTGATCTGATTCGTTAGCTGTTAACCCAAGATGAGAACGACCTATTTTTTTTTGTGGGCCAAAAATTTCTGTTTTTGTTGGGTTGTTTTTTACTAGCTGAAAACAACCTTCTATTAAATTAATTATTTTCATGATTTTTTATATTATTTTAAATATAATAAAATTTAAAATATCGTTGATCATAAGAATTTATTATTAATTTCTTATTATTTAAAAAGGCTTTATTTTATTTACAAATATAAATATAATTTATAGTTATTTTTAAATATCATATTAAAAAAATAAATTTCAATCAAGAGTCCTTCGCTGACGGCTTCTCACACGCCAGCAATGACTGCCGGCTTCAGGTGGGGATCCTAAGGGCTTATCCATATCGAGCGCATGTGCGAAAACGCTCTCGCCATGATAAGTAATATGACAGACGGTGATATGGCGGCGACGGTGGCAGAGGGGCGGATGTTAACGAGCCGTTGTGATGGATTTATGGAGTGGATGATGGCGGGGGACAGGCGGTTGCTTCAGTCAACGCAAATGGCGGCAGATGTGATGGTGGCTTCGAATGGGAGTGGGAATTTCAGCACCATTACGGAAGCGGTGGTGGTAGCGCCGGTGAAGAGCAAGTGAAGATTTGTCATAAAAATAAAAGTCGGGGTTTTTACGGAGAACGTGGAGTTGCCGAAGAATAAAACGAGCATAATGTTTGTTGGGAATGGGAGGACAAAGACGGTGATCATCGGAAGCCTGAATGTCGTCGACGGCTGGGCCACCTTTGGACCCGCCCCCTTAGGTTTGCTCTCTTATGCTCTTTTACTAATTAAGCAAGATTCACTTCTAACCAGGGTGATTAATGCTTTATTTGGGATGAATTTTTTACTTCTTCTTAAAGCAGCGTTCTAGTAAATTTTTACGAGAAAGCTGCTTTAAGAAATAATAAAAAAACAGTCCCAAATAAAACCTAAATCACTCTTATATTATTTAATTCAATTTAAAATTTAATTTGTACAATTGTTTAAGCAATTATTCAGATCTTGACAAAATTTGTGAGATATTCATTGATTAAATTAGCTGATAATTGGGTTTCCGAGCAAGGCTCATAGCTTGTTTCTCTTTGCAATATATATATATATATACTTTTTAAATATTTTTTAAGATTTATAATTTTAGATTTGAGCCAAATAGTATAACTCTATATTTAGGCTTCGTTTGAAAGGGCTTTTTTATTATTTTTAAACAAATTATTTTAAGTAAAAAAATATTTATTATTGTTGTCTATGAATTGAATTACAGTTGCAGGCTGCAGTTGTCTTGAAAGTATTTCCTCTTGTTTGTAGCTTTTATGTTTCGTTTGATATGTATTTTTAAAATAGTTTTTTAATATAATTTTTTTATTTCAAATTTTTTTTACAAATAAAAAATTATTTTAAAAAATAATAAGAATTTACAACTCACTCAATCTATTGTAAATTAACAACATATAATAAGACCTAAATAATGATTTAAAGATTTTTGCTATCATAAAAAAAGTATCTTGATTGGGCAAAAATTTTGAGGTAAAATCAAGTTGAATTTTTTTGAAATTAAATTCAAAATTATATGAACTCCAATTTCAGCAAATTTATAGTCGAACTGAACATCTCAAAAAGACGAATCTAACAACATCAAATTCGACTCAATATGATTCCAAATCGGACAAAATCAAAGACCTGAAACACATTTGAAATGTTCAAATCATAAATTGGATGATAAACGATTTTCAAATATTACATACTTATAGTCGAATCAATCGACTCGAGGAGAAGAATCTGATGAGTACAAGATTGTCAAATTTTGATATCATTAAGACATTTAAATGACGAGTAAGGCTTCGATTGGTTCTTTCTCTCTTTTTGTAAAAGTTAGTTTAAAAACAATGATTTAGAAAATGGAGTTTTTAAAAGGAGAAGCAGATATTCAAAAGTTTTTAAAAATAATAAAAAAGTAGAATTCTCTAAAGCATTTGTATATCCAAACAGGCTAAAAAAAATGGTGCAATATCATGTCTTGTGGGAGAAGACAGAAGACCGAATGATCATTGGTGAAGCTGATAGAGAGGGAAACTAACGCTGAGAGAGAGGGAAAAAGAACGACAGGCCTAAACAGTCTATGATCAAAGAAGTGGATATCACCCGTCCATTTAAAACACTGTTGTTTACTTCAAAACTATAAATATATCCTCACACGGCAAATTATTGCATCTTGTCACCGGACGCGGAGAATAGGTTCGGACATCCAATAAAAATTTGTCACGTTACCTGCGCTTTTGACTGCGCGCTTTAGGTGCGCTTTGACTACACTTTACCTGTCTTATACATTCACTTTACCTACACTTTACCACACCTCTCGTTGGTCTATTGGTTGAGAGCTTAGGCTTCCAACTAAGAGATCCAAGGTTCGAGTCTGTGTATGCGTTGTGTGTGTGAATTTGCCTTAAATGACCTAAATGTCCCAAAAAAAAAACCTACGCTTTACCTGAGTTTTAGCTATGCTTTTGTCGTGCTTTATTTAAAATAATATTTTATTAATATTCAGACCTAATTTGCCCATACTCAAAATGGAGGGGAGCGAAGGGTTTTTTTTTAGGGCGTTCTTTCGTCTGGTTGGAATGGCTAAAGCGATTTTTTTGGCGATCTCTTGCCGCCTTCTTTCTTGCGTTCTCCTTGCCGCCCTCTTTCTTCCGTTCCCTTCTCGGCATGGCCGCTCAGCAACAGAAGCGCAATAAGTTGGCCGAGGAGCAGGAGGAAATTGAAGAAATGCAGGATGGACCTTTCACGATCGAGCAGCGCCAGGTAAAAATTGAGTAAGGCCGTTTTACTGCAGAAACCCTAAATCTAGAGATCCATGGTTAGCTTTTTGAGTTCAGTTTTTTCTGGCAAAGGGTTACTTCTTTAAACACCAATTTATGATGCATTGTTTTACTTTTTTGTCTATCGAGGCTTCTGGTTTCCCATTTTGGATGATGTTGACTCAAAGATTACGGGTTGAATGTTTTGCTTCTTGTTTTAGTGTTTAGTTCTAAATCCGGAAGCAATCAAGATACTTCATTCACGTAATCATATTCCATTTTCTCGTATCAGTCAGAGTGTTCTTCCGTTTTTCTTATGTCGCTACGCTGTTTCCCGCATTAGGTTGGGGATTCATTTTGGGTTGCTTAGGTCTTTCGTATTCTATCTTTAGATGCTTCATTGCAAATCTTGTAAACTAATGAGCCTACCTTTCACCATTTGAATTGTTATTTTAATTTTAATTATTTTTATTGATCTTGCTCAAGCATATTATTTGTACAGTAAGTTATGCCTTAATTTGTTTATTTATACAGTAAGTTATGCCTTTATTTATCTTAGAGCTGTAGTTTTTAGTGATTTTATGGATTGATAGAAGATTTATTATAAGGTAAAGAATATGATGTCCATCAGTGATGGGAATTGTGAAGAAATTGAAATATTTCTTTGACCTACAATAGTAGTTAGAGAATATTAGTCAGAGGGTTTGTGTGTTTGAAAAAATTTGGCAAGATGAGTCATGTGTTTAGCGGCCCCTAAATGTAAGATTTAGGTTTGATGGGAACTATTTATGAAACTGAAAATACGAGGTAGAAGTCATGCCATTTTAAGATGAAAACATAAACTGAATGACTTTTTCAGAGCCTTAAGAAGGTTCTTGAATTTATCAATTTCTTATGGATTGATTTTTTTTTCTTTCTAATTCCAAAAGCGGGCATGCCCTTTTTGTTCACTTTATTTCCATCATAGTTTAGAGGCTTTTTGTGGTGTTTTCTAGCATAGGTTACTTTTAAAGAAGGCTTTTGCCATTCTTTATGGAAAGAGTTTGTATTACTAAGTCCTTTAACATGGGGTTGGTGGTTGTCATGACAGATATTTCGGAGCCAGAAGTGTGAACAATTGAGCATTATAGTCCTTCTTTCCACTTATATTAGAGAAAAAAATCTCATTTAGTTAGTCCTATAAGGAACCCACTTTTGTCCTTTCTTCTTCAATAGAATTTTTCTGCTTAAGATTTGGACATGAGCTTGGGTGAAGTCATTGTTGAGTCTTGCAAGGGACACCTTTTTTCTATAAAGCTTGTGAATCACTGTGCATCATTGAAACATGTTATATTGAGATTTTGTAATAATTTAATTTAAGCTAATTAACCTTCATTGCATTAACAAACTTAATAACATGAAGGTAACCTTCTTTGATTGTTGAAATATTTTTTTTAGTATGTTTGTTTGATGGCTTCCCAAACTTCTTTTGTTGTAAAGAGGAGGATATGACCCCTGATTTTATGCATTATAATATTCTACAACCATTTCACGATCATGTAATTCGCTTTATCCTAAAATACAAAATTTGGATCTTTCAGCCTGGGAGGAGGATCCACAAAATAATGGATATTTTCCTTTCCTTACTGAAAGGTGTTAACAATTTGGGACATTTTCATATCATTTCTCATCTTCTCCCATTTAGGCAATATGAGGCTTGTAGCCTTGCAGGCTTTTATTTAGTTTGATTGTCATAATTTATGATGGGTAACCTTAGAAGAGAAGTAAAAAAAAAAAAAAAACTAGCAATGATGAACACGAGGAGGAATCTCCACAGGAAGGTAGAAAAAAAAAGAAGAAATGTTGGAAGAAAGTAAAAAACCTCGCTCTAATATTATGCACAATAGTAAAAAAGTAGAAAAAAACTATTTTGACTTTAATCGTTTGATTTTGTAGAATGTGTAAGTAATTATTGATTTTTGTATCATGTTTCTATGGAAATAAATCAAAGTTATTTATAAGAAAAGATAATTTTCTAGGAGAGGTTGGTGGCTATAAAAGAAAAAGGAGATAGACTGATGTGAAACTATTAGGAGTTACTTTGAGAAATTAAGAAGAAAATAGATTAGAGCTTGACGACACAAAAATATTTTAATGACAAAGAAAGATTTCCAAATTCAAAATATTCAACTTGCTTGGGCAAAGAAATACACTTGAGATTAACTGATGTAGAACGGAAGGGGCTAGCCATGATTAAAACTTGAATTTTGAAACCTTTCCTAATTTAACACGTTACCAATCAGGAAAGTTATAATTGCTTAGTTTGAAACTTGGAGGGAAAGGGAAAAAGGGGAAGGTGATTGAGTGATTAGAAATTTGAATTTCAAATGGGGATGGAAAGGAAAATTATTCCTTTAACTAAGGATGAATTAAGGCTCCAAGAGGGGGGGGGGAATTAATGGGAATTAAGTGGATTGGAGAGAGAGGGGAGGGACCAGCCTAGAAAGAGGGTGTCTAAATTCATTGAATGTGGAGGAGCAATTAATGCAAATTAATCTCAGATTTTAATCAATCCAAGATTGAAGGGGGGAATTAATTGGAGGGGGCAAGGAAGGAAAGAGGGAGAGCTTTGATTTTGTTTGATTCTTGTAAGCACGCAAAAGATCATCCAGGAATAAAGTTTCCTTTATTCTCTCAGTAAATTCATTCAAAGCTAACTGATAAATATAATCTATCGTTTGATAATTGTTTGTCCTAATAATTTTACCTTTTCAACGGTGAACATGCTGAAGAAGATTATGGCAAAGGCCGAGGAGCAACGAACTTGAACATCAAGTTGGATAAGTATAAAAAATTTATTAACATGCACCATGTGCGATGGTGCACCCCATAATTTAGAAATTATTTTAATGATGTTCAAGCATTTATTAAAAGTGTTTAGATCTTTATTGAAATATTTTTGAAGTTATGATAGAACCTTCTATGACAATTGTTCAACCCTGAGGCAATCGAGATTGATAATCACTCTCCTAACTTAATTTCTCAACAACAACACCACTTAGTAGTAGAAGATGACATACCAAGATTTCTTTCTTTATCATGAGAAAAATTATACATGTAAAAATGCAAATACAAAGAAATAATTAGATGACATTATATAAATAAAATATAATGACAATAAAAACAACTAAGTACATGAATTGACATAACAAATTTGTATATTTCGGACCCAAAACATAGTTAAAATAGTATATTTTATCTTTACTTATGTCAAGGTAATCTTTGAAGAAGTCTGGATCCAAAATAGGTACATTCTGCCACAACTAAAAGAAGAATCAATCACTTGAATAATAAAAGAGATTTAAAAAGCACAATTTCACATAATCAAATTGCAATTGTGTCCTTCAAAAAGCATATATCGGCTAATCAATGTATAATCCAATTTTTGCATCTCTAAATATGCAAGTATATTTAAAAAAAAAAGTATTGATACACAGAAAAAAAAAAGAAATATAGAAAAATAAAGGAGTTTTCGGATTGATGAACAATCCATTACAATTATTATTTTTTAAAGAAATTAAAGACGGTTTCATTTTCTACCTTGCAAGGCAATATCAAATGGTCAAGTTGAACTAATAATATCCAATTATTCAAGAATAGTTTTTTGTTTGATCCTCAATAAATTTTGTAGATCTTCAGAATCGAAATATACATGATCGTTGCCTAATAGATAATAAAAAATGTTTAAGATAATTATTACAAATATGAACACAGATGATAAATTTTTTGTGAATAAAAATGGTAGTGATTTTACAGTAATGAAATATGAAAAATAAATTACAGAATACTCTTATAATTTATTGACACATTAATTATAAAAAAAATCCCGCAATCTTTTTCATCCAGGCTTGGGATAGGCATTGACGATTTTAAAAAATGTCTTTATAATATCATCTCTAGAAAATTTGTTGGATTTATTGTTGAGACAATGTGATATAGAAGTTGTTCTTGGGAAGAAGAAAAAATTTAGAACATAGAAAGAATCAACTTAGAGAAAAGTTGAATCTTTTAATATTGCTAAAGAAAAATAGTAGAATAGAAAGGGTTGCAAAGCATAAAGTTCAATTTAGGCCATTTGTTTGGTTGGATTTTGTTGTTGGTAGAATCACAATCTACTTTTTAATATTCGTATAGATATAAAAGGTAAATTCTTATGAAACTTCTTCATATAGATAAAACATAACTTAGTAGACACTGATAAAACATTTTAATTTAATATAATAATAGCCACCATCCCAAGGACTATTAAATTCATAATTATGAAAGAAATATTGGATGATGGATTGATCAATTATGAATATTATCATAAAATTCAACATACTGGTAAAATAAGATTTGAATCATCTAACAATAATAGAAAAATTTAGATTATATAAAAGGTTAATTACAACTCAAGAAACACTGATAGAGCACTTCTATAATAAAAACTACATTCCTTAATGATTGTAAAATACAAAATTATGGATTAATCATAATGGATTGTTGTTTAACAATATATTGAAAGTTTTCTATCTATAGAGTCAATAGAGTTTCCACCACAAAAATTAAGGAAAAGCTTTTGTAAAATGTCCATTTGGAATAATTATAACAGCATAACAATCCAATATACCTAGGACAAGGATAACTATTAGCGAATAATTTGAACAATTTGAAGTATAAATGAGCCAAGATTTTGGAACAAATAACTATTGTTGGTGCAAATGACAAATAACAAATTTAAAATACCTTTTGAAGTGAATTGAGAAAAAAACCTGATTTTTTTAACTAAACAGAGAAGAGAGATTAAACATGCAACTACCTAGAGGGAAGAAAAGTCAATAGAAATAGTGTCATGTGAACAAAGTATTTTTTGTTGCAAACTAAGTATCCTAATCACAATCATTATATTCAGTTAGGAGGCCCTCATCATAAATGATAACAAATATTTGATGGGTGGCACTGCATCGATTGCATGATGAAAGAAAA